GCGCTCGTTATAACAGCATGAACTAGTTTGGTAGCTGCATTAAAGAAATGTTCAATAATGCTAACTGAAAATCAGCCGCAGAATTTAAGATTAGTGGTTAAAATAGATAGGATAGAGCTGCTAAGATTAGAACAGTTGTTGCAGAGGCGATGGCTAGCTTCCAGTGGGCGCGAATGGTGTCCATTAAGGGACCCATATCGGGTATTTTGATTTCTGATAGCGATGTTATAAAGCTTTGTTTCTGATGGAGCTCATGGTTAAAATCGAACATTGAATCGTGTTTTTCAGCATGGTATGAAGTAGCACCATTGAGCGGTGAGTCATTTCAGCACTCGACAGCGCAGTTTTGGGTGACAGTTGCGTAGTCATAACTGAGCTTGGCTTCGGCTTGCGGATTTGTAGGACCACATTCCATGGAGACTGAATGATGACCACGACCTACGGTAACTTTTGTGTGGTCTTTGGTTCCGCATTGTGCGGTAATTGCCGCGCCTTCAGTGCAGCTATAGCACCCTGTTCAAGCTACTGAGGGATACCGTGCACTTTTCATCGTCAACGAAATTGGCACTTTGCTGTGAGAAATTTCGAGTGAACCGTAGCAGTACTTCCAGCACCGGGTGGACTAGCGAATATTTCGCTGCCACTGCTGCGTATTTCAACTAACTAGCGGCAAAAGATGGCCACTGTCAACCACGATCCGCCGAAGCAATGTTTCTGGACAGTGACAGTGGTGCTTGGTCCAGCCTGTGTTACAGTCACAGATATTTTATTGACGCAGTCACGAACGTGTTGAGTGCTTCCAAGCATAGATGGCGTTGACTTTTGTACAGATACAGCTGTAACATTAAAACTGCCAAAGGTTGAGGTTGCATACGGCTCCAAAATTAGAGTTCCTTCACAGTCTTTCCGAAAAGGGTGGTTTCTAGTTCTACGTGAGTGTTTGGAATGCAGTCTCTGCATTCGATGACCTCGAATATATTCTTCTATGAAGCGGTCGTTGTCAATATCATAACTCACGCATAAGTACTTTATTTCTTATGCCGCTATACGGTCTTCGGTGGGTATTTCGGAATTGACAAGTTTCGAATTTGAAACATATTCGCGGAGATTCTTGCCGATTTCAGCGAAAAGAGCTTTTGAATCTTCATATTTAAGTAACGCTTTCTGCTCTGCCTGCGACCAATAGAATCTTGTCAACATAGATGCTCTTGGCAATTCCTAAAGCAAGTTCAGTTTTGAGCGATTCTAATTCTGACACCGAAAGGGAGCCTAGTGGGCCGATATTGGGTTAGGTCAAATGTGAGCTTCTGGATTATTCCCCGAACGATTTGCCCTGAACTAAGTGCTTCTGTGGTGGCTGCTTTCTGTATTTTGTCATCTACCAGTACCAATCTATCGGATATGAGTTTCAAGAGCAGGGTGACCTGTCCGACCTCCGACAAGATTTCCTTTAGCTTTGGGGCTCTTGATGGTTCTTCATTTGCTTCTCTAACTCATCTAAGCGTTGTAAGCGTCTAAAGAAGGGGACCATAGCCGGGGCGAACTGATTCGCTTTGCTAGCAGCGAGCATGAGCATATTGCTTCATTGCTTTAAAGATCTTTCTGCAAAGTTCCTGAGGTGCGAGATTTTGCCATCATCGTGACCTCAAAGACTGTCATCTCCGACGTGAGTCACCGCAGCCTTTTCTCGAGCTATCTGCGGCAGTTGGCACTTCCTTGCGAGTCGTCTTCGGCTTGTTGTTTGATCTGGTAGGAGAGGTGGAAGTCGGCTTGGGAAGAGGTCACTGTTGTCGGCCAGTAGTTCTCTGAGACGATTGTTTGCTCGAGTGAGAAGCCCTTGGCTGGTCGATAGAGCAGATGTCATGCTAGATGCTGTGCCAGAGCAGGAAAAAGACTACGAAAGCAATTGAAGAATACGAAGACGTGGCTTGATAGGACGAATACGTGACATGCGAGACGGGACGAAGACTGCAGCGAAAAGCTTGTTGAGACTTACTTCTAGGAGTTGAGTTGATGCTATCCTGATCGTTTATTCGAATGGCCGATGCACCATATGGTAGTTTACTCGTGTTGTATTATCTGGCACGAAAGCCTCGATACGTCTGCTCGAGAAGCCGATTGAAATACCGTTCACCTCAAACTTGGGTAATTAAACAATGGTGGATTACAACAATAATAAGAATGGGAATTAAGAGGAAAGAGTAATGAGTGGGCCGCCGCCCAAGACCGAGCAAGAGGAAGATAAATGCTCTACAGTGAGCACTGTCCTGTATTTATACGCTTGGAGGGGGCGGAGCGAGCTGCCTGTAGATGAAGCTGCTGATAGGCATTGTTGACCTTTGGAGCAGCTCGATTAGCCACCAGATAACGAAAGTGAAAGTTACAATGATTAGTCATCGCTGAAGAGAGGAATAAGAGGCACATACAAATAGAGAATTGTACATACAATTTAAATGGAACGAAGAGTAAAAAGATAGATAGAGGATAGATAGATAGAGGATATGCTTCCAAATTTTTCGGTTTTAGTACACACGGAGTAGCGGCGTATGCCCCACAGTTATTGCAGTTGCTGCTGGAATGGTTACTCTTGAGCATTTCCAGCAGCATCTTTTTTCTTTTAAAGTGTCCCGACGTCGTTGACAGTCGGTCACCGTTCTACACAAGGGGGATGCGTGATTGGTTTATTGCAAAACACACAACTTGTTTGGCGGGAGGAACTTTCAGCCTTGAAGCCACTGTTCCGACTGGGTAACTAGCCCCAAGTCGAGTTTGGACGTACACCTTGGCGGGTCTCTTTGTCCAAGGCCTCTAAAAGGAGGCATTTATAGTATCAGTTTTTTGATACCTAACGAGAATGTCTTGAGATTGTATTGGTAGATAACTGTGGCAGTCGTTTATTGGAGTCGACTGCTCGGTTGTATGGTTCGTGGTAGAATGCTAACTCTATCTAGGCGTGCCTCTCAATACAGGAGAGGTCACGCATCGAGTATCTAACCGTTTACCTACGGGTCACAATCACATGTCTTAATATTGCCTATGGCTTACACCTATCAATCAGTTAGTCATAAAAGGGTGCGCCGGCAGGTTCTGGTGGCAATCCAGAACAGAGAGTCCCGTATGGAAATTTCTTTAATATTGTTTTGACCACATGGGGACACTAGTTCGCCTTATATGGTACCCCGCCGAAAGCATTTGATAGACGAGGGCTTCGATTGCGTCAACACTCCGCGTAACTTTCTGCTTCCTTAGATGCAGCTTTGACATCCAGTAGTTTTTGCACGATCTTTGACTTATTTGCTGGCTTATTGC